TGGTACTGCCAACTAGGCTATTGTGACTGGGGTCCTAGTGGGGAGACAGCTATGGTCACGCAATTAGGCTGAACTGCAAAGAATGGGGCAGACAATCCCCCATAAAGCTGATGGCTATTCCAATACTTAGATTTACCAAACCAGCACAAAACAGCTTCTTTATTACCCTACTGGTTACTCAGAAGTCCAAACAACACAGTTCCCTTAAAGTGATCCAGCCTCAGGCCTTCATCCAGGTATCCACATCAAATATGATGAAAATTTCTGTAAATCTTATTTCTTCATATAAAAGAAAAGGTTCTACCAATCCCAAAGGACTGGACACATTACCTCCCAGGTTAATCTATATTTCAGATCTTACCCAAATACACGCTACAGCCAATTCTTATTAACTAAACTAAAATTTATTAAAAAACAAGAGAGAGAGTATGGTTAAAAGCTTAATATACCTAGAGACATAAGTTCAATTCATTGAGATGCAGATTCATAGCAGAGCTGGCGAGCTTTGTAGTTGCAAAGAGTTCTTTCAGAAATAGTTCATAGATTATAGTCCAATGTCCAATATCACCTTCAGGGAGCACCAGCACAACTGGGACCTCAATCTTGCGACTCAAACGTCCCCTGATTAAGCTTAAGCGGATCTGAGATGACAGAATCAGGACCCAAGGATCTTTTATACAATTTCATGGCTTTTGACAAGTTGGGATTTCTTTGGGGAACAAAAGGTCATTAGCATGACTTTGAAGGAAGTACTTAGCTATACTAATTAACATAAGGCCACTTGCTTGTTCCGCCACCATTCACAGTACATGTCAAAGAGAGATGAATACTGAGATATCCCATGTTTACAATTCATTTAAATGCTAGGCTGTTCTTTTGACCTCTGAATTATCAGAATACAGCATAGACAGGGACTGTTGACTATATTGTTGACCCTATTCATATATATGTAAAAACACAAACATCATCTCCCCATGTGTCTTTTGAGGGTTATTTATTTTGCAGGATGTTTAACCCTTTCTAGCCATATGTCACAGCTACCAGTTAGTGCTAGTATATTCTGCTAACTATTATTTGCTTTACAGGCTGTGTGTGTGTTGTAGGTGTTTGGGAACTGGACTGAAAATCCAGTCTCACTTCATGTAGTCCACAGTCTAGCTAGCTGTAGAAAGTACAAGGGAGTTAGATAAAGATTTGATTTGTGGGTTTTGGAGGGAATCCTTTTGATACATCTGATAAGTAAACCACAGGATAGATGTAGCTGGCCTGTCTGATACTCTCCAGTAGCTATAACTTCCCTTTTTTAAAATATCTATTGGAGGCCTTCGTGGAAATCACTTAATTTGAAATCTGTTTTTTCAGAGAACATCTTCGTGATGTGGAAAATCCTTTCCCAGCAAGTAAATCAGCTGCATGCCCACAGGGACAGAAACTTTCACCGCTGCCCACAGGCCACTGCTAAATGGCACAGCTACTCGGCAGGTGGGCTTGCTCACTAAGCTTTAGCCCTAACCCTTCTACAGGAGAAAATTGGGCTGTTAACTGTGAAAACTGGGCTGTATAGCTGTGAACCTGCCCAGCCTCAACCCCCCTGCGCACTGAGGTGCAGGTAGCTTCCTGTGCTATGTTCTGACAAGTAAGGGATCTGCACCCTTTGTGTGGGCAGCTCCCCAGCACAGTGTGAGTGCGTCAGTTCCTGTTTCCTCTCCTAAAATAGCCCCTTCATTCCCTAATCAGCCTAGTCGCTCTTTTCGGCACTTGTGCTGATTTGAATTCATCTTTCTTGAACTTCCGTGAGCAGAACTGAACACAGTATTCCAAATGAAGTCTTACCAGTTCATTGTACAATGGCATTAATACTTCTCTATCTGTACTGGAAACGTCTCGCTTGATGCATCTTAGTTCCGATCCCATTTGCTTTTTTCACAGCTGCCTTATGTTGGTAGTTCATGGTTATCCTGTGATTGACCCCCACATCCAGGGGTCTCTCCTCTTCTGTCACTTCCAACTGAGGAGCTCCCAGCTTGTAGCAGAAATTGTTTTTAGACCCAAAGTGCATGACTTTGTACTATTAGTTTTATCCCATTTCTGTCACTCCAGTTTTCAAAATCATCCAGCTCTTCCTGTTTAATATTCTGATCCTTTGTCTGTATTGATGATGCCTCCCAACTTGTACATCTGCAGTAACCCTGGATTTAAAAAAAATGAAAATATATAATTCCCCAATTCGCTGTCAGATTTTAGTTCTAAAGTAGGTCAGATTAGGGCATGAACTACTTGACAGCAACCCTTTTAAGGTCAGTGTTGTATTACTTTCCTTATTTTTTAGTCTAGTATTTACCCTGTCCCTTCCAACTTCAGACTTCCTTTATCCCATCCAGATAAACTAAAACAGTTGCAATTATTAGCCTCGCTCATGTGAGATGGCTGTTTCCAAGGGAAATCTAATATACACTTGTGTTTTGTTGTTGTAACTGACTTTTCTAAACAAATTCTGCTTTCATGCTCCCAGGCAGCCCACTGACTTCACAGGCATTGGCACAGGCTATAAGTGAGGATAGAATCTGGCCCTACTAAGATCTTAAAAACTTCTGGTAAACTTAGTACAGATTTTTCTCTCCACCCACCCTTCTCTCTTTCTCATGTAATCTTTGGGACACAATAAATGTAGGACTGTCAGGATTTACACTGCTTTCTGTTCTAATGAACCTTTCCATCAACTAAAGGGTTGAATCTGAATCCAGTGCAAATATTTTTAGAGTATTGTCATGATCCATGAAGAATTATTTGCAAGATTAACAAAAGTAAGAAAAAAAATCAGGCATTGCTTTGCAACTCCTGCAGTATGCATGCCAACTGCCAATGCCGCTAGCTAGCTGGGATGAACCAAGACAGCTATAGGGCAGAAACAAAAAGGGAACTGTGATTGGGAGATGAAAAGGAAGAGTAACGAATTAGTTTGGTTGCTTTCCAGTGTAACATTCTGAAAGTGAAAAGAAAAATGTCACTTCAGAGGGATGAGTTTTTACTGATTTTCATTATATTGGGAAATCAAAACTAGTTATCTGGACTTGAAGTAAGTAGATTTTTTTTCTTTCCCCCCTTCAAGTGAAAATAAGTCTTTTGTGTGTGTGTGTGTGTGTGTGTGTGTGTGTGTAAAATATATATCTATATATGCACACACACCCCGTAAGAATCTGTGGAGTTAACACTAGCATTAGCTGGGGAAGAGACATGTAGAAGATATGGGGCTGATCTTCATTGAATCCTCTTTCTCTTTTGCTTGCATGTGAAGAGAAATCATTCTTGTCCTTAAGGTTAGAATGCACTGGCAGCTGCTTGCATCCAGACCAAATCTGGTCCATTCTCTGGTCATTGCTTCCAAAAACAAGTATCTGTGCAAGGCTAGCGATATCTGAGTATTTAAAATCATAACTCCAGTAGCGTGCTACTCTTTTTTACCATGCTCTTGATACTATGACAATTATAATTATGTACAATCGGAAATACTGTGATCGGATTTCTTAAAGCTTTAAATTCATGCAAATATTTTTTTTCTGTTAAATGTAATCAAATGTGCACTGCAGTATTGTACATGGAATGTCTATTCTATCTGGAGAGGGGCCTGCATTACTAACCCTGAATCTTTTTAAAATACGTCTTTAGCTTCAAAGGAATAGGTCAGTTTTGTGCTAATACTAGCACTTGGAGCTCAATACTGTTCAGGAGGGGATTTTAACAAAAAATAAAATAAAAAGCCCCACTTCCCACCTAGGACTTTCTAACTCTAAAATAAGCTGCAGTGTCATTGAAAGATCTCCCTGATTGATCCCTTAGTATTCAAGCAATGTTATATGCATTTTTATAAATCGTACAGTAGAGCAAACTAGTTTCACAGAATTATAACTGTATGCAGAGTTATTTTAAATGGGAGGGGAAAATAGTAGCTTCCTCACCTGCAAAAATCCCACTTACTGCTGTCTTGTACAGTGGAATCCCTTTCAACCAAGTATTTCATCTGAAGGTAAATAAAAACCCAGTATCCCAAACTTAAGCAAAGAAACACATGCGGAGGTAGAGGCCGCCAGGCTGTGCTGTTGAAATTCTTAAGCACAGGCTGCTGGCGACTCTTCTGTCTCTCCTTTTAAACACCCAGTGGCACTTTATCCCTATGGAATGTAGTAGTGCTCGGTCTTTAACCCTAACTTTAACTCTGACTCTTCCAGATAGTTTTGTGTCCACTCGCCCTCAATCCCCCAAGAAGTAGTATAGTAATTATTTGCTTTGAAGTAGTGCCTAGAAACCTTAGTCATGAACCAGGACCCAGATTTGCTAAAGCACTGTACTAACACGCAACAAAAAGACAGTTTCTGCCCCCAGAAGCTTATAGCGTAAGTATTGTGGCATATTATTTATAACCAGATTACTACAGTACCAAGCTCCTTCCCAGATTAAGATTAGCCCATTCTGTAAAAAGTCTTTTTGGGTGGTTTGAGTGGCAATGTGGTCAAGTGGTTTGGGCACATGGTTGGATGGTCAGGAAACCTGGGTTCGGTTTCTGGCTCTGCCGCTGACCTGCTGCTCTGTGGGAAAAGCACTTCGTTTCTCTGTGCATGAATTTCCTCTCCCACCCTTCATCCTGTCTGTTTAGATTAGAAACTCTTTGTAACTGGTAGTCCCTTCCCTAATGTGGCTGCACATTGCCTAGCCCAATTGGGGCCTTGTCTAGGCAGTACAGTAATATAGAAAATAACGCAGATATAGATAATGGTTTATTTTTAAGTCACCTGTTCCTAGTTAGTTTCCAAATATGAAGTCTAATTTCTATACTGTAGCTTTGCTGCATCTCTGTTCGGCGAGCAACACCGTCTAATGCTGTGCAACAGTAAATTTATGATGGAAGATTACCCTTGTTGATATTTTTTGTCTTTATATTGAATCACACGATATTTTTTTGTAAGCAGAATTAAAAAAAATATTTGTTTCATTTTCTCTCTCAGGGTCTGACAGAAGTTGAGCTTCCTCCTTGGTGCTGGGTGCAGCAATCTGCCTGAAGAGGTAAAACTTGATAAATTAAGTAGTACTGGTACCCACCAGGAGAGGGGCTAATCTCCACCTCCTGTGTATCAGTGACAGGATCATATGCTTTCTAGCGGGGACGGGGGAAGGAGAAAGTGGCTCACTAGGTTTATTTAGCATGTAGTTAAATAGTTGTTGTTTGGAACAATAACAGTATTTATAAACTTTCTCATTGCATCTGTTTGCTGGTAGATATTTGAAAAGATGTTATTGATAGGCTTTATTTTTTTTCTTTAAATGTCATACTCTAGGGATCTTCTTTTAAATGATTTTTATTCAGTATCTTTTCTACTCAGTTATTTATGTTTTTAAACAAACAATAGACAAAACCCCAACATCCCAGATTTCCTTAAAATGGAAACTAATGAAACCCTGTTCCCATGTCCTGCACATTCTCCTTAACTGACCCAGGGCTACTGCTGCACAGGTTTTGCTTGAAGTTTGTACTAGAGAGGTTTTCAATGAGGGATGTGCACATGCTTCCTGCTTCCAAAATGCCTTGGCATCAGGAACAGCCAGAAAATAGTAGAAGCAAAAGTATGCATAAATCCCACAGTGTTTTGGTTTCTTCACAATTTTTGCTGCAGTCTGATAATCTGCAAATTCCAAGCTTTCTTTAAACCTACAAAAAAAACCCAACAAACAATAACTTTCCATTAGGAAATACATAAAATAGGTTCCAACAGCAACTCTATCTCACTGCACACTTGTATTAACTGGGGTTCCTTTTTTTCCCGGTTAAATAGATTTTATGACAAGCAGTAGGTCCTAAAATATGTGGGATGTGGAGTGCAGCTGAGCTATTGTTGATTTCAGAGCTATCATTTCTGCATTTTCTGAATCATGTAAAATTTGCATGGTAGGATGTGGGTTGTTTTTTTTTCTTATGTTGTAAGTAAAATAGGCAATAAAAGCCAGGTAAATTCTCTGTTGTATTGATAGAATGGACAGACTAGCATCTCAATGATAAGAAGGGAGTTTTAGCTGCTTGCTACTCAGTTGTCTATAAGCAACAAGGCAAGCTAGAATTTTTGCATATGTTACTTTTATTTGTATAAGTCTGCATTAGCTAAAATATCAGTCTCAAAGCAAAAACCAGTATAACTGCTCTTTCAGCTCACTCAGCTCCATATCTATTGCTTTTAAACTTTGGAACTCCTGAAGTAATAATGGATCTTTAAAGCCCATTTATTTTCAAGTTTTCAGTTCAGATCTCTCAAGCTGCTCTTCAAAAACAATGAGGAGTTCGGTGGCACCTTAAATACTAACAGATTTATTTGGGCATAAGCTTTCGTGGGTAAAAAACCCACTTGCCTACAAAAGCTTATGCCCAAATAAATCTGTTGGTCTTTAAGGTGCCACCGGACTCCTCATTTTTGTGGATACAGACTAATATGGCTACCCCTCTCAAACTGTTCTGTTTATTAAAGCTGAGAGCTTAACAGCTGTTGGCTTAAAAATACTGTTTCAGATCTAAGCAGAATTTATTGTATGGTCTAAGCACAATTCATAGATGAGATCATCTGCGTTACCCACAACCTATAATTGTAAACAGTTCATCGCAAGCTAGCCTACTAGTTGAATTGCTTCAGTTATAGCATGTTACAGTCAGAGCTGAGAGCTCTAGCCCAAAAAAAAAAAAAGTATTTGAGGAAACTCCCATTGCAGCTGTCTGCAGTGCACTCACTGTCTGTGGGCTACGGAGAAATAGGGCATTGGTGGCTGCAAGCTGCAACTCCATTCATCTACATGATTTTAAATGTCTTTATTTGCTAAATGTATTTGTTACCCTAAAATCACTTCATAATGATTTCAACTAGCCCTTTAATTAACAGCCATGTTTATAAGGAGGTACATATAACAGAAGTAGTTGCAGGAGGTAAAAGCTTGAACTAGGGTCAGACACGTGTGAATGGGAACAGATGGAAATTTCGATTAGCTAAGGGGGCCTCAAGATTTTAAGGAAATGATGCTTTAAGATGAGGGGCTAAAATGTTTGGGGTAAGAACTTCTTTGCCTTAGAATTAAGGGTCTCAAGTTAAAGAACTTGTTGCCAGTGAACTAAAGACCTTGTAATGAAACTAAAGCCTCTCTTCGGTCGAGGAATGTTTCTAACTATATATAATTCTACACAGTGATTCTTGTCTCTTATTCTCCAATTGGTTACTTGGGCTTTATAACGGAGCAATGTGAGAGTCACTTGCTGCTCACTGTGCTCCCTAACATGATGAAGATAGACTCTCAACAGCAGATGTATGTCCCAGGACTATTTTTCCTAAAAGCATTGTTGGAATATAGATAAGGTTTTTCTGGGGTCTTAGAAACAAATATAGTACACTGAGGATTTGGGGGAGGGAGGGAATCAAACTTTCTGAAAGTCTGCTTTTTTAAGCACTTATCTACATGGGAAAGTTTTACTGGTATAATTATACCAATATAGTTAAATTGCTATAGTTTTCCTGGTATAACTCCCTGTGTGGACACTCTTATTGTGGTATAAGAGTGGATTTTTTTAGCTTAAACCCCTTCCAATGTGACATACAATAAACCAAAAAAAAAAAGTACGACCAGTCTTACAAGTGAATAAGAGTGTCTGCACAAGGAGTTATACTGGTATATCAGTTTAAATGCACACCTTAGGTTATTACAGGATAGCTTTCCCATGTATACAAGCTCTTAAATGCTTGCCCAGATCCCGCTGATGCACGACAACCTGTTAGTGTGCAGTGGTGGTCTGCCATGTTACAGTGCTGGTGATACTTCTATTGCTCTTATTGTGAAAATTAATTTATTTGTGAAGAGCTTTGATGTAAACTGGGCAAGGTTGATCTGTGAATCAGTCAAGCTCAATTTAAAATTAGTTTTCTTCCTTTTCCATTGGACACATGAATCTTCATCTGTGGCATGGTCATGTCTACAGCTAGTTAGTGCTGGCTTGCTTCTTAGAGGTTCCAATCACACAGTAGTCTGAAGTTTGTTCATAGCTTGGGTAGAGGGGGAGGTAGAGCCTCTAAGCTGAGAGACAGACCTGACTTTTTTTAATTGAAGTAGAATGTCGCTGCATCCTCTACAAGACTGACGGGTTTCCTCAGGCTTTTTTTCTGGCTGAGGGGATTGGGGCTTTGTTTTGGGTGAAGGGATTGGAGCTCATTTGGGTTGGGGAAGGTTTTGCAGGAGATCTTATTTTCTGTTTTTAATTGTTGATATGATTTTCACTCTGTAAAGCGTCTAGAAAACGCTGATGGGGCTAATAGAAGTAAATCTGAACAAATAAACTGGACAAGTGGAATTCACATGAGCAAATCCCATTGGATGGAATAGGAACTGCACTTGCAGCATGCATTGTCAGATGAGACATCTGTCAATATAATTATGATGTGCTTTCTACTGTTTACCGTGAACGAAATGGCCAAACTCCATTTTAAGGCTTGGAATTCTGGGAATGTACAAGTTTCAGATCACTTTTGGGTTTCACTGGTGTCCTACTGTAAATTACTGGGACAGATCCAGTCCTGATGTAAGCTCACCGAAGCCAGCAGACTTATAGAAAGAGGGAATTTAGTCCCTTATTTTATTCTCTCAGTCTACAGTATAATGTCAATACAGACACGTAGCATGGTTATTAAAGATACTCTGCGGTATTCATTCAGGCAGCTGACTTTTTCCTGGGGCCTGGAGAAATTAGCACTTCAAAAAAAAAAAGTGGTATTTTCATTTCTTGCTGCTTTGTTCATTCGCCTGCGTGACCTGTTGCAGGGCTGCGTAGGTCTGCTCTCGGCCACACATGCTGTTTCCTGTAAATTGGTCAGCAAGAGGAAACTGCTTGCAGCACTGCAGAGCCCGCTCAGCACGGTGCTGCGTCTGGACTAGAGAACTAACACCAGCAAGGGCAGCACAGTGCTAGGGATGTATATCTCATTGCTCTTGTTTGCATGCACCTGAGATAGAGGAAGAGCCGGTTTTGACTGGGACAGGCAGAGAGTGAGGAACTCAGAAGAATCAGGGAAGGATCTGATTCGATATCTCAATTAGATAACGATCACCCCCCTCAGACTCCAAACCAAATTCCACATTTCTGCTGGCATGAAATTCAGATGCTACTTGGTTTGTGATATTCTGTCCGCGGTCTAATTCCCTGATTGATCTCTTGTAGTACTAAAGGGATAAAATTGTAGTTAATCCTTCTGGGTTAAATTCTCCCCTGTGCAGAGCCAGCATGAAGCCTGTGAGCCCCTGGAGTCCTACACTGAAGGACTGAGTCTTAGTAGTGTGTGGACTTCGTGCTAGCCTTCTTTGTGGGGGTGAATTTCACTCTTTGTGCAGAAGGATGTATGTAAAAGTACTCCCAGTCTGTTTCCCTGGGGTACTGTTACATTCTTAAAGTTGCCAAGTTTGAATCTTCCCTTGTTAATCTATTTCAGGAAGGTTTCAGAGTAGTAGCCATGTTAGTCTGTATCAGCAAAAAGAATGAGGAGTACTTGTGGCACCTTAGAGACTAACAGATTTATACCTCTACCCCGATATAATGTGGTCCTCGGGAGACACAAAAAATCTCACTGTGTTATAGGTGAGACCGCGTTATATCGAACTTGCTTTGGCCCTCTGCTGTCGGTGAGTGCAGGGAGGTTGGGGAAAGGACGTCCCCCTGCACTCACCTGCTCCCGGCCCCCCGCTAATCCCCAGGGCCACTCTGGGACTGCGGGGCCCCCAAAAGTGCCCCACAGCTCCTGCCTCCCAGACCATGGGGGGGGGGAGTCTCTGACCGCCCCCCGAGACGCTCTGCCCCTTATCCAGCCCCCCGGCCTGGCCCAGCACCCTTAACATGCTGCTCAGAACAGCATGTCAGCTTTACCACCTTGTATACGAACCCGTGTTATATCGGGGAAGAGGTGTATTTGGGCATAAGCTTTTGTGGGCTAAAATCAACTTTTATCAGCCTTCCCATTTAGGGTTCTAAAAGGCACAATGATTCTGATTAT